AATAGGATAGAAAAGAAAAGATCAGTATAGAATTATGGCTCTTAATACTGGAACTCTGGTTCAAAACAAAAATTACTTTTAGAATAGAACAGAATAGAGATCTGTGCTCTCAATACTTGAACATATTCTGATTAAATGTTAAATAAACATGTTCAATAAAAATGATCTAAAATGAACAGTAAAACAATACTGGGATTCTAAATTACTATTTAGAATAGAATAGAATAGAATTATGGCTCTTAATACTGAAAATCTGATTGTAGTATAAATAAACATGACAAAAATTACTATTAGAATAGAATAGAATAATGGCTCTTAATACTGGAACTCTGATTGTAGTAAAAATTAACATGACAAAAATTACTATTAGAATAGAACAGAATAGAGATCTGTGCTCTCGATACTTGAACATATTCTGATTAAATTTTAAATATGTTAAATAAAAATGATCTAAAATGAACAGCAAAACAATACTGGCACTCTAAATTACTATTTAGAATAGAATAGAATAGAATAATGGCTCTTAATTCTGGAACTCTGATTGTAGTATAAATAAACATGACAAAAATTACTATTAGAATAGAATGACTCTTAATACTGGAACTCTGATTGTAGTAAAAATAAACATGACAAAAATTACTATTAGAATAGAATAGAATAATGGCTCTTAATACTGGAACTCTGATTGTAGTAAAAATAAACGTGACAAAAGTTACTCTACTATTAGAATAGAATAGAATTATGACTCTTAATACTGGAACTCTTTGTAGTATAAATAGAATAGAATAGAAATGTAATAATCCCCACACTTACTTTGACTCCCTTTATCACTGTTTGAAGAGGAGAACTCTGCAGACTGGAGCTGTAACAGACGAACACCAGACTAATTAAATCAGTGTAATTATGGATGGACCTCACAAAGCTGACATATCAAAACAGATTTCAGTTTCTCACCCTAGTCAGGCCAGTCTTAGTGTAGGAAGGAAATGAGGGGGATTTGGAGGCTGTGCAAAAGAAATGAAGAAACATGTTAACTTAGTGTAGGAAGGAAATGAGGGGGATTTGGAGGCTGTGCAAAAGAAATGAAGAAACATGTTTAATGTACTGGCACAAATAGCATTCAAGTAATGATGCTGAAGTCAACATGTTGTCTATTAGGGATGTGTATCATATGGATGCAGCACATATCTTCAACCAGAAGGGGCCACTGTAAGTACAAGGTCAACCGGCTTTTGTGTTTAATTGGAATCACATCCATTTTCAGTGAAAAAGGATACGGAGTATAATGCAATAATCAAAATGGTTCAAATTGAGTTCTCTAGACTCTGAACTTTACCCTAGAGACCTATAAACACTAATCTGATTCAGATTATTAGTCTGCCATGCATAAACTCTGACTGCAGGTGGAAAGACTGACTCAGATGTCCAGTACATACAACAGCTGCTGTCAGTAATGCTGCATATCTCTGTGTATCTTTCTGTTGTGTTTCTCCTAATCAGACAGTTTTGTGAAAATCACAACCACACAGTGACGACCACACAAGCACATGCACACACACAAAAACATTGAGTACATTTACATGGATAACAATACTCCGATTTTAATACGATTAAGACAATACTCTGATTAAGAATCTACCATGTAAACAGAGATTTTCACATTTTTTTGGTGGAAAATGTGATACTTTTTTAAACAAGATTCTTTGATTAAAAAAAACTGCATTTATTAGAATTTTTTTTGATACTTTATAAATGTCTTTACTGTCACTTTTGATTTATTTGATGCAGTCTTGCAGAGTAAAATTATTAATTTCTTAAAAGAGGTCAAAGCCAATAAACCTTTAACCTTGGTTTCTGAAGAAAATAAGGTTTAAGAAGAACAGTTAGAAAAGGAGAAAAGTACTAATGTTAAGCTTAAAATTTAAATATAGTGTATTCGGTATAAGAGAAAAGTGTATAAGGGAACATGTGTATTTTATGTGGTTTGACTGGTCACTATTTCTTTAAAGATTTCCCAATTTTGAAATACCTTTTTGGTGTAAACTTAATTTGTAGATATACAAATAGTTAAATATTTGTTATTAATAGCTGGACATCAAACTGCATGTACACTACCGTTCAAACTTTTGGGGTCAGTAAGACTGAAAGATTTCTGAAAGATGTCTCTCTTATGCTTGCCAATGCTGCATTTCTTTGACCAAAATACAGTACAAACAGTTAATTTTAGTTAAATAGTTTAAAATAACTAATTTCAATTTTGATATATTTGTTCTTTTTAGCAACATCATATGACCCCTTTAAATAATAATATAAGATTTAGGAAAGTGCTATTTAAAAAAGTTCAACTTTAAAACTGCTTGACACATCTAAGTTTACAGATATGAAAATGTTATGGATAAACACCTTGTTGAGCTCTTGTTTCTGCATTTGCCGAAGTCTCCACATGTCTTCAGACAGATCACTGTCATCATACTTATCATCCTCCTCACCCTCCTCTCCCTCAGGCATCTTGGACGCCACGTTCTTCCTTCGCTCTTTCTCTGTGGTACAAACACATGACTGTGAGACGAAGAGTGTAAAAAGTCGATGAACAACTGTGTCAAGACTACCACATCATAAAATTGTGCCTTGATACTAAATGCTGCTTACATTTGCATGTGCTGTTAGCATTAGCATCTAGCTAAATTCATTACTGCCCAGGGGGAAATTTTATTGCTCTTTTCATAGGAAAGCTCAAAGGAACAGTTTATTGAACTTTTAGACAAAGTCTAAAAAAAAAATAATAATAATCTTTTTGTTGAGTTTCTTATTTGATACATCAGGCTTTTATAGTACAATATGAAGAATATGGAAGTCAAGCTTGAGGAGGAAAAACACATCAGTTTTATTCAGAGGGCCAAAACTGAGCAAAACATTTTTGATACAACTGTTGATATTTTTATGACCAGAAAGTAATTCTGATGCTTGTAATGTAAATCAATGAGATCTTTATAACAGTACAGCAGACTACTTACATGAAATGCACATACATGTGAGTTGTCAGTCTATATCTTCTAATAATGTCTTAGTAAGATGATATTAAAATGCTTTTTAATCATCATTTTTGGGATCAAAACATACAATACAATGCAATACAATGATGTTTGACAAGATGGAACAAAAAAAAAACGCTCAAAATCCTGATGGATCATATATGATACTCACATTTTAACACGATTTTTCTAAAAAAAAAAAGATCAAGTAAACCTAAGCTGCTTCAGTCCAGTAAATGTTCATCTTGAAATATTACTAACAATATAAAAGTTATTCTAATGTTTACTTTATAAAAATCAGTAAATATTTCACAGCAAAAAAGACAAGTGAACCATGACATGAAGGTGGATATTTACAGTGGACGTACTGTATGAAATACAGAGTTCTGGCATGAAACTCTAGATGGCGCAGTCCGATAGGTCTAACTCATTCTGACCTAATGACATCATTATCACATGGCACAGCTGATTGGTTTTCTTTTTTTATGTGTGCCAATGAGCTCGCTGCTCAACATTCAAATATATGATTAGTGCTGGCAGTAGCAGTTGCAGCTTGCTTCAGAAACACTCCAACTTCCCCAGCTCCACCTGTATAGATCTGCTACGAGGTGATTCATGTATGCTATATGGGGGATATTTCATGTATGTTATATTTGCAGCAGCAATATTTCTTACATGCTCACAGCAGCATGTTGTGGATGTATTGGCAGTAGCAAGTCTCGGTACTTGCTCTGCCGCAGCAGCAGCAGCGTAGCAGATCTATTCCGCCAAGACCAAATACATTAACACTGTCATGTACATTACCATGCCAATCCCTCAGAGAGTTGTCATGACAGAACTATCAATCCAATGACAGAATGCATGTAGCAGATTGTTTACAGCAGGCTGTGATCATGTGGATAACGTGAGAGTGCAATACCTATAACAGCTAGTGAGGGAGGGCAGGGCCAGTAGTCCATCTCTATCTTAGAGGGCTGGTTGGGATCTGGAGGTTGTGCGGCGGGAAACTTTGATGACTCGATGATTAAATCCTCCATGTGTTTACTGTGTGGAACGGCTGCTGAGACATCTGCATCCATTCAAATACACAGACACATGCTCAGAATGCCACAGAATTGCACCATTACACAAGAACAGTGTTGATGTTTCATACCTTGCTTATATATTGGTGGCTTCTTGTATATATTGTTTCCATTGTCTGGGAGGAAAAGTGAGGTTGTTTTGTTTAGTTTTAGAGTTTGATGTTGACTGAGGTTTGTTGGCTGTGTGGTGCTGTAGTACCTAACCTGGCCTGTGGAAGTGCTGTTGCTGGTGTGGGACTTTTGTGCTGACGGTGATGCTTTTACTCAGCTGTGTGGAGGCCGGAGACGAGCTGCCTGATGACTTGGGCTCTGACCAATCCCTCTGATAGACATCCTTTGATAGACTGTTCTGGAATTACATTTAGAAGGTCTGTGTGCTTAAGAATCATGCAGAGAGACTCTAAAGCAGATTATAAAATAGATAGTTTGGTCCTCGAACATGGTAAAATAGCTGTGATGCAAGGCCTCTGGTGGATTAAGACTTCAACACTGGGTTTTTAGAATTCAGGTCTGATGTTAACAAGTGTTTTCATTCAAAAACTTAGAGAGGGGGAATTCCAAACTTTACTTCATATATTTTGCTAGATTTATATATCTGTGCTATATGTATTGTGCTATATGTAAAACCTTGAGCATAATTCAGTCAAAATGGTAATAAAATAAACAATATTTAAAAATGTAACTTCTATTAAATCTTGGGAAGTAACATGTTAAGTGGTGGCAGGCAGCGCTTGACTTTTTTAAAGCTATTTTAAACAACATTTTTCTCATTTTTGAATTATTGTACATACTGTACATGAACTCATATTGAGAGAATTAAAAAAAAAATTAATTGGTCACAACAATATTACAGGACTATTTTAATTAACGTTTTACATTTTATACAACCATTTAAACATTCGGGGTCAGAGAGTTTTTTAAATATAAATCAGACTCTTTATTCAGCAAGGACATAATAAATTGATCAAAAGTCAAAAGACTCTTTGTCTTGCAACTAATGTTGCAAAATATTTAAATTTCAAATAAATGCTGCTCTTTTTTACTTTTTGTTCATCAAAGAATCCTGAAAAAACTTATTATGGTTTCTACAAAAATATTAAGCAGCACAACTGTTTTCAACATTGATAATAATAAGAAATATTTCTTGAGCAGCAAATCAGCATATTAGAATGATTTCTGAAGGATCATGAGACACTGAAGACTGGAGTAATGATGCTGAAAATTCAGCTTTGATCACAGGAATAAATTACATTTTAAAGGGGTCCTATTATGCACTTTTACAAAGTCTTGATTTTGTTTTGGGGGTGTACTAGAACATGCTCTCATGCTTGGTGGTTCGAAAAACGCATTATTTTTCACATAATTTACATTATTAAAATACCTTTCTCCCCATCCTGGCACAAATGGCTCGAAGTTTTTACTGCATTTTTATTCAAATAAATGCAGCCTTGGTGAGCATAAGAGACTTCAAAAACATTGAAAAATCTTACTGACCCCAAAGTTAAATAATATAATGTATATAATTTGTAACCTAAATGTCTATGTTATTTGCAAACTACCTTCTTTCCATTAAACAAACATTTACTTCTGGTCCTCTAATCTGATTGGCCAAGCCTCATTGCAAGAGTGCTGATGAAGTATGAAACCGTTTTTTCAATTGACAGATATTAAAATACGACATGGACATGTACTATGCAACTTACCTCTGGAGATGGAGGAGGGGAGATTGAACGAGGAGATAATGACCTCTAGAGAAAGAGAAAGAAGAAAGAAAGAGAGAGAGAGAGAGAGGTCAGTTGTTGGCAGTAAGTGAAATATCCAGACATTTCCACAGACAGGTTTAACAGACTTAATGAATCGTAAAGCTTCCATTACAGCGAAACAAAAAAAGGAAATTACAGTGGGAGAGCCGAGCTAACATGTGTGTACGCTGATTTCGAGCCAGGCGCTCTGATGGTGAGACATCACACCCAACAGGAAACTAACCAGAGAACACATCACACACGCTGACAGACAGAGTGTGTTACAGAATGAAAGTCTGACAAATCAACAGCTTTGAGTCTTTGAGACAATGGCCAAAATAGACTGTCAGATCTCATCACCAAATATCAACACAACACTACCATTCAAAAGTTTGGGCTTGGTAAGATGTTTGAATATTTTTGAAAGAAGACTATCATACTCACCAAGGCTGCATTTATTTGATCAAAAATCCAGTAAAAACAATAATATTGTGAAATATTATTACAATTTAAAATAACTGTTTTCTATTTAAATATATTTAAAACTGTAATTTATTTCTGTGATGTAAAGCTGAATTTTCAGCATCATTACTCCAGTCTTCAGTGTCACATGATCCTTCAGAAATCATTCTAATATGCTGATTTGCTGTTCAAGAAACATTTCTTCTTATTATTAATGTTGAAAACAATGGTGCTGCTAAATGTTTTGTGTAAAACCATGTTACATTTTTTGAGGATTCTTTGATTAATAGAAAGTTCAAAAGAACAACATTTATTTGAAACAATTTAATGCATCCTTTCTGAACAAAAGTAATAATTTCTTCAAAAAAAATCTTACTGACCCCAAACTTTTGAACAGTATATATACTGAATATACAGTGTATTACCTCCATTGGTGAATAGCTGAAGTGGGGCTCATACATCATCAGGTCAGGCCTCTCTATGTCAAGAATGGCCTTGTCTTTAGGTATAGCTGCTAGGTCCTTATACCCAATCACTTGATTGTCCATTTTGGCCTGTATTAATCCAAAATATGAAAGAAATGGAAAGAATTATTGGCAATCTCAGAGACATACTATGAAGAAGTAAATGTATTTCTCTGAAAGCAATACATTTGTTTTCTGGCACAGCGTTGCAATTTTGAGACACAATTATTATTACAGTTAGTCATGGGCCATGTGTAATCTGATGCGGTAATCATATCCCAGCATGCACTGTTGCTATACACACCACTATAGTGACCGCCGAGGATCCAGGAACACCTCCTCCATGCAGAGAACAAACGCTGCCTGGGGAGGTACGGGCCGATTGCTGTTCACATACATACACAGATCAAAGGTCAAACATCACATTAACCTTTTTATTTGTTTTATGATCATGTATTATCTTATTTTTTATAAAAAGAAATCTGCTTAAAACATACATGACATAGAAACAATTGCTTTTAATTACCTTATGCATCATCATTTTCAATGAGAAAGCACTCCCTTTATGAGGTCACTGTGGAAAAGAAGAAACTGTAGATGAGAACGAGGCTTTAGATGGATGTCAGATGGCTTCCAAAAAACTGTTCAGATGTATGTCAGTTTAAGTCAAGTCAGTTTTATTTGTATAGTGCTTTTCACAAAACACATTTTTTTCAAAGCAGCTTTACAGAAAATCATGATGTTTGTTTATACATCATATTGTTTATATGATGTTTGTCAAGTCGCATTTAGCAGATTGGAGCTGGACAGCTCAATATACAATATAGTTTGTATTTAGCGACTGTCGCACTCAGGTGCACTCAAAACACTCACGAAGATGAAGGTAAAGTTATCTTTAATATTCCACACAGAAGGTAAATCCACAAGAGGAAGGCTTAGCACATGTGAAAACAGACAATATCCGACAAACACTAACTGAACAGACAGGAACTTAAATACACAGGCAAATTAAGATAATAACCTAGACACAGGTGAACAGAATGAACTAATCAGATAAGGGGAAACTAGGTCAAAACAGGAAAACAAGAGGAAAGACAAACTAAAAGTCCATGATTGTGACAGTACTCCCCCCTCCGGCCAGGCACGACTTCGCGCCATAACAAAAACAAAGGAGGGACAGAGGGGACTTAGGAGGAGGACAAAGGGGCGGAGTTGGGATGGTAACAGGGGATGGCGAAGGGCAGGAAGGCAGGCAAGTGGATGACCAAGGTGGCGACGACAGAGGCAGGAACCATGGTAGATCAGATGGAGGGAGGAGCCAGGATGGAAGGAGGAGGAGCCAGGGCGGATCAGACGGAGGGAGGAGCTAGGATGGAGACAGGAGGGACTTGGAGCAGGAGGAGCCAGGCGGGACCCAGACCGCAGCCAACATGACGGCCCGCGGTGGAGCCGATGGACGAAGGAGAGATGGTGGAGGAATGGCCGAGGACTCCAGGGGGCCAACCGACAGTGGCGGAGCAGGTGGGAGAGGAGCCCGGAGCAGAGACAGAGAGCCGACAAGCCAGGGCGACGGGGAAGATCCGGAGGGCCAAGGCTGAGCAGATGGCTCAGGCGACCGAGGCGTAGGTGGGGATCCGGAAGGCCGCGGTGGAGCGACAGAGGACCAAGGTGGAGCCAGAGGGACGAGGGAGCCCAGCGGAGATGGTGGACTGACGGGCCACGGCGGAGAGGAGGGAGCTAGGATCCACGGTGGAGCCGCTGGGTCGACGGGCCGAGGCGGATTCTGGGACTCGGAGGCTGGAGGCGGAGACAAGGGATTTTCCATCCTCAATGCCGATAGAGACTGGCAGACCCGTGGTGAACCCACATCACCGATGGTGGGCTGAGGGTGAGCAGAGGGGCTGACAGGGGACAGCAGAGATGGTGGTGAGGACTGATGAAGAGGTGGTGGAAGAATGAGGCTGGGTGGGAGTTTTGAGCAGTACGGGGGTTCAGGGATGGTGTGTGCTGCCCACACACACCAGATGGCCACTCCCTGCACTGGGAGCACCAGAGATAGGGGAACGACCTCCATGGTCGAAACAGGACAGGCAGACTGTTCAGGGCAGATAGACAGTTCAGACAGATCAGGACAGACAAACAGTTCGGGAACGACATCCATGGTCGTGATAGGACAGGCAGACAGCTCAGAGCAGACAAACAGTTCATAAATGGCCTCCATGGCCATAAAAGGACAGGCAGAGATTTCAGATGATGAATGAAGACTGGGTAGTTCTGAATAAAAGTCTATTAAATCCCCTGAGTCCTTCCTCAGCTCACCCTCAGCGGTGGCACAGTGGGCAGGGTTTTCCTCCACACCCTCGCTCTCCACTGTACAATCCTCCTTGGCGGGCATTGTTGCCAGCTCACGCACCTGGTCAGACGTTGCATAAGGCTCTGGCTCCGGGGCGATCCTCAGCTCTGTCGCACCATTAGGCGATGGCTCGTTGGTCGCGGTGGGCTCTGGCTGTTGCTCCGCGCAGTGGGGTGGTATTTGGCTGGGCTCTGGCTCCAGAGTGGGGCTGGTGAGTTCCTCATCAGCGTGGCAGACAGTGAACTGGGATCCGTTTCTCACCAGTACCCACTCCACAAAGGCAGCGAAATTCCCTGGAGGACTGTCTCCGGAAAACCGAGCTCTGCACGCGGTGTTGAGGCTCGCTATGTAGAACGAGCAGAGCGCATCTTCCGGGTAGCTGGTATTGGTCTGGTGTGGTCCTCGGGGACAAGTTCCCCCTGCTCCAGCAGGAGGAAGAGGAATTTGGGGCGATCCATAAACAAAATAAAAGACTTTCAAAACAAGAAAACAAACGAGGGGAAATGCGCCACTTAACTTCCTGTTTGGTCAGATCTTCTGTCACACTTAATTCAATTCAAGTTTATTTGTATAGCGCTTTTCGCGATACAAATCGTTGCAAAGCAACTTTACAGCAAATTAAGTTTCTACAATATATTTAGTGCCACGGCGGAGAGGAGGGTGCTAGGATCCACGGTGGAGCCGCTGGGTCGACGGGCCGAGGCGGATTCTGGGACTCGGAGGCTGGAGGCGGAGACAAGGGATTTTCCATCCTCAATGCCGATAGAGACTGGCAGACCCGTGGTGAACCCACATCACCGATGGTGGGCTGAGGGTGAGCAGAGGGGCTGACAGGGGACAGCAGAGATGGTGGTGAGGACTGATGAAGAGGTGGTGGAAGAATGAGGCTGGGTGGGATTTTTGAGCAGTACGGGGGTTCAGGGATGGTGTGTGCTGCCCACACACACCAGATGGCCACTCCCTGCACTGGGAGCACCAGAGATAGGGGAACGACCTCCATGGTCGAAACAGGACAGGCAGACTGTTCAGGGCAGATAGACAGTTCAGACAGATCAGGACAGACAAACAGTTCGGGAACGACATCCATGGTCGTGATAGGACAGGCAGACAGCTCAGAGCAGACAAACAGTTCATAAATGGCCTCCATGGCCATAAAAGGACAGGCAGAGATTTCAGATGATGAATGAAGACTGGGTAGTTCTGAATAAAAGTCTATTAAATCCCCTGAGTCCTTCCTCAGCTCACCCTCAGCGGTGGCACAGTGGGCAGGGTTTTCCTCCACACCCTCGCTCTCCACTGTACAATCCTCCTTGGCGGGCATTGTTGCCAGCTCACGCACCTGGTCAGACGTTGCATAAGGCTCTGGCTCCGGGGCGATCCTCAGCTCTGTCGCACCATTAGGCGATGGCTCGTTGGTCGCGGTGGGCTCTGGCTGTTGCTCCGCGCAGTGGGGTGGTATTTGGCTGGGCTCTGGCTCCAGAGTGGGGCTGGTGAGTTCCTCATCAGCGTGGCAGACAGTGAACTGGGATCCGTTTCTCACCAGTACCCACTCCACAAAGGCAGCGAAATTCCCTGGAGGACTGTCTCCGGAAAACCGAGCTCTGCACGCGGTGTTGAGGCTCGCTATGTAGAACGAGCAGAGCGCATCTTCCGGGTAGCTGGTATTGGTCTGGTGTGGTCCTCGGGGACAAGTTCCCCCTGCTCCAGCAGGAGGAAGAGGAATTTGGGGCGATCCATAAACAAAATAAAAGACTTTCAAAACAAGAAAACAAACGAGGGGAAATGCGCCACTTAACTTCCTGTTTGGTCGGATCTTCTGTCGCACTCAGGTGCACTCAAAACACTCACCAAGATGATGAAGGTAAAATTATATTTAATATTCTACACAGAAGGTAAATCCACAAGAGGAAGGCTTAGCACACGTGAAAACATAGACAAGATCCGACAAACAATAACTGAACAGACAGGTACTTAAATAAACAGGCAAATTAAGATAATAACCTAGACACAGGTGAACAGAATGAACTAATCAGACACAAGGGAAAACTAGGTCAAAACAGGAAAACAAGAGGAAAAGCAACAAACTAAAAGTCCATGATTGTGACAGCGACGATACAAGCATGCAAGCAGCTGAGATTCGCTATATTGTTTATCAGTTATGTGATACTGTATGTACGCGGATAAAGTTGAAAATACTTAAGGCTGGAATTCACCACACAAATTTTGCCCAGATTTTAGTGTTGAGTGTTTTTAGCATTTTAGTGATTTTAGCATTTTAAAATCTGTTCAGGTTTTAAAAGTCGTGTAGTTTATTCCAGCTTTTATAAGCTAACAGGGAACGTTCTCAGAACTTTGGCTAACATTCTGGCAATGTTATCTCAAAGTTTTGAACAATGTTCTTCCAGTGATGTCAATAGATTGTTCAAAGTCATCTGGTCTTTAATAATGTTCTCAAAATGTAATGTTCCCTTCATATTCGTATAACCAAGAAATGTTTTAAAACATAATTATATATTGCATTTTAATACTGTACATTCTGGGTATATATCCAACTTTATATAAAGAGCTGGGCGATAATATAGTTACATTTTGCGACCAAATATAAAATAATGCAGTTGAGATTTGCTATATATCGTACAGCATATATTTACATGGGTGTACTGTATGTATGTGGATAAAGTTTGATATAATATACTAGAATATTTATCTCTATAGTATATCCATAATATATATCCAACTTCATATAGAGAACTGTGTGATAATAGTTTACATTTTGTGATTATATAAACAATCATGCAGCTGAGATTTGTGTGACCAGGAATGATTTACAGATTATTTTTTAACATCGCCTTTAACAACTACAAGTCAAAAGATGGCAACTGACTGCGAAAATTTGCTAATACACACAGAAAAGTCAGCAGTGTAAGGACCTTAAAACCCTCTGCAGTCAGTGGACTATGAGCACAATGATGGTGTTTCTCTGGGCTTTTCTGATGGACTTCCATACAAAAGCGTCATTCTAGCATCCTGTGAGTCTTTGTATTCGACTGAAAAGGACACCTTTCCCACTCCTTTGAAAAATAACCCTACAGCATGCTTGTACAATAAAACATTGCTAAGGGCTCATAGGAGAAATACAGATAAACATGCAGAAAGAGATCTTGTCAAGCCATCTTAATGGCTCCTATTTACTCCAGATATTTTTAAGTGTAATCTACTTTGTGTATGTTATACAAACACACATGTACACATACATACACCCACAATCAAACCCCTTGATCTGGGCCGGTCTGGAGCCCTGTCAGTGTGATGGTTTTAAAGATGGACCGTTGTCTGAATGGATTTCTATGGCTAATGCATTCGATTAAGAGCTCAGTGACAGTTGTATGGTGGTTTCAGGTTAGGCTTGTTCAAGATTTGGCGAAGAAGAAAAAAAAAAATAGACAGTCAAAGAAACTCATAGAAAAGAAATATCACAAATTATATCTCTTATGCATCTTATCTGATCCTCCATAGACTCAACAATGTCTCAGACTGATATGTCATTTACGTTTTGCATAACTATTTGCCTCAAACCCATTTCTGAATTTCTTTAAAAGATATGATTTTAGAGGTAGACCGCCGTTTCCTTCAGCAAGGAAATAAGTGCCGATATCAAACTATTAATCAATACTAAAAAACTTTATGAATGTTGTAAACTAACCAATCATCATACCAATCATATAATTCTTAATAAATAGTTTCCTTTCCTCTTTTACATAATCATTTAAATAGCACTTTTAATGGCAAATTAATGTTAATATGTTTGCTGTGTTAAAAATGTCATTATGCATATAAAATAAAGAAATATATATTTTTAAACATTTTTATTTCTTTAGCACTGCTGAAAAGTATTCATATCTAATTTCCTTCTTCAGTAAATGTATGTTTTAAAGCTGCTTAGATATCTTCATTTGAAAACAAAAATACTGATTGAGAAAACGGCTTTACACATTTATCATCACTATTTCAACATATCTACATACATTTTTTAACAATTGTCTCACTTGTTTTTATTTTTATTTCACCTCTTTTAGGAGGAGCATAAGGAAATCTGAGACAAAATGAGACCTAAGTAAAACATAACTGAGAATCCTTGAAGTCTCCTATAAAAGAGCAAACCATGTTTACTTTGGGAAAGGAGCGTGAAGAGAAGGAGATACAGACTCTGAGGTAAACACCGTGAAAGAAAAGGGATGGCAGAGAAGGGAGGGGACGGATAAATGGATAGAGAGGATGGATAAAGAGAGATGGATGGATGGAGAAAGAGAAGGATGGGGGGAGGGATGTGATGGAGATGGAGAGGGATGATAAAACACATTACATCCCTGCAGTCAGCACAGACGGATAGTGTGACAGATGACTGTGACTCCCTTCCCCCATTTAACCAGGAACTATGTCAAGTGCAAGTACAAATCCTGTCCGTTGTCTTAAAATGAGTAAAATTAGAGTTAGAATTGAGACTGAGGATTAGCGTAAAAGCACAAAACTACAAGTACAAAACTAAAAGCACAGAAAACTACAATAACAGTATATTTTCAGTCTTTATTCCATTATCCCATTACTAAAATGACACAAACAAACTTCATTTCATTGTTTGCCATGTTTAAATTTGTAAAATGGTTTATTTACAGGTATGGTTCACCCAAATATTATTTGTTCATCATCATGACCTTATTTCTCCTCTAAAACATAAAAGAAGATATTTTGAAAAATGGCTTAGTGTACTTTTGTCCAAACAATGAAGGTTAATAGGGTCTAATATTGTGAAATATCTTCTTTTCTGTTCCAAATAATAAAGCAAGTCACACACAGCTTTTGGAATGACACAAGGGTGAATAAATTATGGTAGAAAATTCATTTTTGGGTGAACTGTCCCTTTAATCCGTTTACATTCAGACTACATGAACAATTTTCATTGGCCAGAAGCAGATTGACACAGAAACATTTTTTTAATCCACTAAAATTCATCCATTTCATTTATAGACCATTAAAAATAGGTTTTATCTGGATTTTTCAGGAAAGATGTCTGAAGCATAAAATAACTACATCCTTTGAATATGAAGTAATGTAGGTGAGAATGTGAACAACTGAGTGAATGAGAAAGACAAGACGAGAAAGACCGAACAGTGAACTCTTACCACAGGCGTTGAGAAGCTTCATGACACACATCTACAGGGCCTCCTCGCCCTACACCATTCCTGAAACACCCAAATACAGGATTTCATTACTCATCGCAACATGACAGTCCAACATCAAGCAAAAACTGTTTGGTGAACTGAATTCAGTGTTGAAGTTCACCCAGAAATTAAAATTTGCTGAAAATTGTTGAAAACAAGATGTAGATGAGATTGTTTCATCATCAGATTTGGAGAAATGTAGCATCGCATCACTTGCTCAGCAATGGATCCTCTGCAGTGAATGGGTGCCGTCAGAATGAGAGTCCAAACAGCTGATAAAAACACCACCATAATCCACAAGTAATCCACGCAAGAAGTGAAGTGAAAAGCTGTGTTTGTAAGAAACAAATCCATCATTAAAGCATTTGTGTCACGCCAAAATACAAGTCCATAATCCATAATAAAACTTCCTCCAGTTAAAAAGTCCATCCCCTGTTGTCCTCTCACATCAAAATCCACTGACATATTTGTTCAACAAACATGCAGCTCTTCACTTCACAAGACATTAACTGATGGACTGGAGTGGTGTGGATTACTTGTGGATTATTGTGATGTTTTTATCAGCTGTTTGGACTCTCATTCTGACGGCACCCATTCACTGCAAATGATCCATTGGTGAGCAAGTGATGTGATGCTACATTTCTCCAAATCTGTTCTGATGAAAAATCAAACTCATCTACATCTCGGATGGCCTGAGGGTGAGTACATTTTCATTTTTGGATTAACTATTCTTTTAAATTAAAAAATGTAGTTGAAACATACATATATTCAGCATGATAAAGCTGCTTATTTTAGTACACCATAAATAAGAGGTGAAGCAAACATGATATTCTTTGACAGCCAATAAATGTGAAGGAGAATGACGGTGCTCTCTAAAGTGCATTCTCTTCAGGCAGTGTCTTTGAGTTATTGATCCACAGGTTCAGCTTCTGAATTCAAAGTCAAAATCACTCTGTTATTCATGCCTCATGAACTTTGGCCTCTCAGAAAGAAAAATATGTGTATCTCTCAAAAAGAAAAATATTTAGCTCTAGACTACTTGTTTTATGTCAGTTTTTACATGACTTTTCTATTTATTTTTCCATTTAAGGGGAGGGGAGGGGAGTTTTTCATTACAGCACAAAGCAAACGCACCACAATCTCAGTGACACTGCAGTTCTATCAGGGAACATCTTAGTCATCACACTCACCTTTAAAGAAGACTTATGTAAGAAACCTAGCGTGGTGCTTTTGTATTTTAGCTAACACAGTCTGACATCTCACATCTCTGTAAAACCTCTGTGTCCTCCAGCACAGATGGATGAACACACCTATCACAGCTTTTGTGTAAAGAGCAGCTATTCTTCCAGATTATTTATAGCTAGATTGCCCCTGTGCTCTCCTATCTAGTGGAAAATCAAGTCTTGTCTCAGGAGAGAAAACAGCAGACAACCTCTAAGAAAGAGATGAGAGATGCTTTCCAAGACCAATGCCAGTTCAGCATGTTCATTTGACTGGAGAAAAAAACATTCCACAAGGACAAAGTTTTACAAACCAACAGATCTGCAGATCAGATTATATATACAGCTTTTCATTATTAGCTGTTATTTGCTGTATCAAAAAAATTTTTTTTTTAATAAAAGTTGATTTTTACATTTTCAGAAGAAAATGTGAGTGGATCTATCTCTGTCTGTCTGTAATCCATCTTTCAGACTTAAAGCTTTTAAAATAATTGTAAATTATTGTTAGGGATGCATAAATACATAGATATATTAAAATTCTGGCTGATATTATTTTCATATTATGGCCGTTAACCATTGTTGGTTACGACTGAAAAGTCTTTTCAGTTATTGAAATTAAGCTAAAATAATATATTATCTTAGATGAAAAACGTAAGAAAAATACATTATATAAATATATATATATATATACACACATACATACAGTATATACAGTATATATTTATATATATATATATATATATATATGTGTGTGTGTGTGTGTAAGTGAATAAAAAAGCTAATTCAAAATATTAATAAGTAATTTAATAGTATATAAATAGTACTAAAATAACACTGCCATTACAGATAAATGGCCATATTTTCAATATTCTAAACAAATTTAAAAATAAATAAATAAAAGACCAAAACCAGTTGCTTTCAATGCCACATGTAAATTTAGGCATCATATTATTTCGTACAATATGAAAAATTATTATTCATATTAAGATTTGTTAAAGATTTGCTAAAGATAGATTTAACAGTGTTATACTTATTAGTGTTATTACAGATTATAGCAAAAGTAAATGTTATAGCCGATTGTAATCTAAATGTTAAAAATAGAATTAGAAATACAATACAAAAATAGAAATACAATTAAATGGATAGTTCACCCAAAAATGAGAATTACCACATGATTTACTCACCCTCAATCCATCCTAGGTGTGTATGACTTTCTTCTTTCAGACAAATACAATCGGAGTTATAGTAAAAAATGTCCTGGCTGTTCCAAGCTACAGTATATACAGTATATATTTATATATATATATATATATATGTGTGTGTGTGTGTAAGTGAATAAAAAAGCTAATTCAAAATATTAATAAGTAATTTAATAGTATATAAATAGTACTAAAATAACACTGCCATTACAGATAAATGGCCATATTTTCAATATTCTAAACAAATTTAAAAATAAATAAATAAAAGACCAAAACCAGTTGCTTTCAATGCCACATGTAAATTTAGGCATCATATTATTTCGTACAATATGAAAAATTATTATTCATATTAAGATTTGTTAAAGATTTGCTAAAGATAGATTTAACAGTGTTATACTTATTAGTGTTATTACAGATTATAGCAAAAGTAAATGTTATAGCCGATTGTAATCTAAATGTTAAAAATAGAATTAGAAATACAATACAAAAATAGAAATACAATTAAATGGATAGTTCACCCAAAAATGAGAATTACCACATGATTTACTCACCCTCAATCCATCCTAGGTGTGTATGACTTTCTTCTTTCAGACAAATACAATCGGAGTTATAGTAAAAAATGTCCTGGGTGTTCCAAGCTTTATAATGGCAGTGAATGGGGGTCGAGATTTTAAAGCCCAATAAAGTGCATCCGATTTAAGTGCATTCATCATAAAAGTGCTCCACAATAAAGGCCTCCTGAAGCGAAGAATTGCATTTGTGTAAGAAAAATATCCATATTTAAAACTTTATAAACCGTTATAAACTGTGATACTCGCATTCACGTGAGAGTGGCGTTCCAGCAGATGATGTAGGACGTGGGCGTAGAGTAAGCTCCGGAGAATATGCTAGTCTAAAGTTTTAAATATGGATATGTTTCTTACACAAGTGCATCGATTCACTTTAGAAGGCCTTTATTAACCCCCTGGAGTTGTGTGGAGTACTTTTTAGGATGGATGGATGCACTTTATTGGGCTTTAAAATCTCGACCCCCATTCACTGCCATTATAAAGCTTGGAAGAGCCAGGACATTTTTAATATAACTCTGACTGTATTTGTCTGAAAGAAGAAAGTCATAAACACCTAGGATGGATTGAGGGTGAGTAAATCATGGGGTAATTTTCATTTTTGGGTGAACTATCCCTTTAAATATACAGTATAAACTAATACTGATAAATTACAAAAACTCTAATATCAGCTAATAACTGAAATGGTACTAATATAACATGCTTCCCTGTGTAATATAATGTAATCATACTAAAATGTGACTGGTGTTTCACTGTACTAATATAAGGCAATGTAGAGTCATTGGAGTTCACAGGCCATTGGATAGATGAATCATGGGCAAGATGTGCTTATCTTTATGTTCACATGGTGACATGATTACGACAGCAACGCACAAGTCAACAGTCACCCAAAAACAGATGAATACTGTAAACACACGCAGCTCAGTGTGTGTCCTGTACCCGTCCTCATCTGTGTCCTCCTTGCATCACTTGCAGTGCAAGAGAGGAGAAAGAACACGAGAATCCTAAAAATATCCTGCTGCATCTCCCACATTAAACCAGCCAGACCTCTCGCCCTCTTCTTATTCCTACTGCATTATGTAACATCAGATCCGTTGCTATGGAAAACGAGACTTCTCAGTCTCAGTTTTTGTTACTTTATATTGAGAGGAGAGCAGAGAGAGGACAAGAGAAAATGGGGAAAAGAGTGGGAATTTTTGCTTTCATATATTTTTATTAAAATGTAACTGTCTCCACCTCAGAAATGACTTTTCTGCTCATGTAACCCAGGCAAACTTGGCAATAATAGACCACTTTTCATAATTCAATCAAATCCTGATGGTTGAAATCAAGTCAGACCCCAAATTATTTCCCATGTACTGTAAAATTTATTTTTTTACACTTCATGCTGTCTTAAACAGCAATCTTGCAGTCATTAACAGAGGAGCAGACGGTAATGTGGATGAGCACTGAAGATTTTGTGTAGTTAGCAGGGGGTGAGAGCTGGTTGGTTTGTAAGCTGCTTTGATCCTGGTGTGACACAGATTCAAAGTCAAATTGAACTCAGCCCGAGGACATAATGCATTTTGTAAAATTACTCAACCACAATTGTTTCATGCCAAATGCTGATAAAACATTCTAGAAAAAAAGCAATAGAGTATAAAGCCAAATTTCCCAGGCAAAATACATCCCAATACAATAGCATATTATATTAGGAAGATACATATTTTTGGAGTTCAATTAAACACATTTTAATTGCATTTTTATCTGTGTTTTCTGACAATGCATTGGTTGCGTTTTTTCACACTGATCTATTATTGTAATATCAACTACAGTATTGTTCCAAAATTTGGAGTCGTTAAGTTTTTTATATTTTTGAAAGACCTTGTGCTCATCAAGACTGCATTTATTTCATCAAAAGTAAAGTAAAAACAGTAATATTTTGAAATATTATTTCAATTCAAAATAACTGTTTTCTATTGTAATGTGTTTTAAAATGTATTCCTTACAAAGCAATTTTTTTCAGAATTTTTTTTCCATGAATAGAAAATTCAAAT